GAATCTGATCCCAGTGAGTGTGTTGTTTATTAGTTCGTGTATCTCCTCTAGTTTGGTCCGTTTAATAATGATGAAGGTGTTGTTTACGTAGAGTATTCATAGTTTTGGTTGGATTAGAGGAAGTGCCGTACTTTCAAGTCTCTGCAACACCGCTTCAGCTAGTCTCCAAGGCACATGCACTACTTGCCAACGAGAACACATACTGGCAAGTGCAGACAGACCTGACACCACAATTGGGCAACAAGATCCTCAACACACTAAAGACACACTGCTCACCTGGACCAAAGACCCACTACCCATTATAGACAGGATCAATGTCATATACAAGATTCCATGCAAAGACTGTGACACTGGAAGAAAATTAACCACAAGGGTACACGAACATCAACTGGCAACAAAAATACACGACCAATACTCACTCATCTCCACCCACGTGGATAAAGAAAACCACCAATTCGATTAGGACAACACAGGATCCTGGGACAGGCGAAGCAGAGACAAGCACGGGAATTCCTAGAAGCCTGGTACTCCACTAAGAAAGCCATCAATAAACACATAGAGCTAGACCCTGTATATACTCCATTGCAAAGAAAAACCAGAAGTGAGTAATCCAGATCAACGGACACCAGAGTTTAAATAACAGGCGGTAAAACACAACAGCGCTTCAACGGAGGCTGCACTGATGATAATACCCAACAGGGTAATGAAATGTCAGCGGAACAACGAACCAGCTCAATGAGCCAACCAACCACAACTATATAGAGCTATTATTCTAGTTTTAAAAGAATAAATGAAGACTTTTGAAACTAAAATTATAACTCAAACTCTAATATACTGGGTGGCATGTTGGCTCAGTGGTTAGCACTGCTGCCTCTCAGCAGGGACCCGGGACCCGGGACCCGGGTTCAATTCCAGCCTCCGGCAACTGTCTGTGTGGAGTTTGCACATTCTCCCCATGTCTATGTGAGTTTCCTCTGGGTGCTCCGGTTTCATCCCATAGTCCAAAGATGTGCAGGCTAGGTGGATTGGCTATGCTGAATTGCCCGTAGTGTTCAGGAATGTGTAGATTAGGTGGGTTATAGGGGGATGGATCTAGGTGGGATGCCCTGAGGGTTGGTGTGGACTTGTTCGGCCGAAGGGCCTATTTCCACACTGTAGGGATTCTTTGAAATAACAATCGAAATGACATCCTGCGTTCTTAATTAAAGAAATTACTTAATGCAGAAATAAATTGGGCAAATCAAATGAGTATGTAAATTCCATTTGGGTCACATAACATCTTCAATTTTAATTTTGATTATACTCATTTCAGTAAGAGGAATTTTCCCAAAAAATGAACTGACACAGTTGACCGAGTATGGATAATTTAGCAAAGCTGCAGTGAATGTCTGAAATCCTGTCTGTTTAAATACTAATGAATCATATCCTTAGATTATTTTCAGTGCGTAATATTCATGGAACCAGAGCATATTAGTTTTACCAACATTGTGACTTATGTAATGGAATGCACTTTGGTTTAGAGAAAGGATTTTTGAAACAATAAATGAATACCACTAGGTCGTTCATTAAACACTTCTTCATATCAAATCATAAATAATATTTTCAGTTGAGTCTTTGGAATAAAAACAAAGACAAATTAAATGACATATGGGCTTGGAATTCAAACAAATAAAAAAGCAAGTTTCAAAGCAGTGTTATGAAAATAGTATGTAATTCTAGTAGTTTTCAAAAAAAGGTAAACCATAAAATGCTAAAAAGAGAAAAATATGAAGATTTAAACTCTTTCCATGCCAAACAAATATGCTAGATATCCCAGGCAACTTACCAACAATGATCTGAGTGTCTAGACTGGAGTTATTAGACAAGGGATACAAATGCTACAGGTCACAGACAAACTTATGTAATGAATACCTTTAAGTGACCAACAGTGTTATTCATTGCATACCAGATTTAACAGACTTGATACAAAGTCAGTATATGTATTTTGCAAGGCTCAGCTACACATATTTCTGCCTTTATTTCTCAGATCATTTACAGTGCGACTAAATTCTGAATGAACAATGAATAATCAATTTAATCTAATTAATTATAGATGAGCTTCAGGCTGGAACAAGACTTATCATTACCACAACTAAAAGCCACAAAATGCATTTATTGAAAGTCTTCAAAAAGGTATGGAAAATGATATTAATCTCTCAAATATGGTTCAATGAAAGTAATTTTATACCTTACTGGCAAGTTTAGAACATTCAAAGTTAAACAATAGAAAATTTAAAGATTTTAGAGTTGAATTTTCATTGGTTAGGGTGACTTCAGAGTTGGAATTATACAGCATGAAAAAAGACCCTTCAGTGCAACTCGTCCATGCCGACCAGATATCCTAAACTGATCTAGTCCCATTTGCCAGCATTTGGCCCATATCCCTCTAAACCCTTCCTATTGCCTTTTAAATGTTGTAATTTTACCTGCCTCCACCACCTCCTCTGGCAGCTCATTGTATACACGCATTCACTCTATGCTTGAAAAAGTTGCCCCTCAGATCCCTTTGAATCTTTCCCCTTTCATCTTAAACCTATGCCCTCTAGTTTTTCTCTTACCACAGGAGAAAGATCTCGGCTATTCACCCTGTTCATGTCCCTCATGATTTTATAAACGTCTACAAGGTCATTCCTCAGCTCCGATGCTCCAGAGAAAGAAGCTGCAGCCTATTCAGTCTCTACCTCTAGCTAAAATTCTACAATCCTGCAACATCCTTGTAGATCATTTCTGAATCCTTTCAAGTTTAACAATATTTTTCTTACAGCAGAAAAACCACAATTGAATGCTAAAAAGGGCTGAATCAATGTCATATCATAGAATCCTTACAGTGTGGAAACAGGCCCTCTGGCCCAACAAGTCCACACCGACCCTTGCAGCATCCCACCCAGACCCGTCCCCCTGTAACCCACTTAAGCTACACATCCCTGAACACTATGGGTAATTTAGCATGGCCAATCCACCTAGCATGCACATCTTTGGACTGTGGGAGGAAACCAGAGCACCTGCAGGAAACCCACGCTGACACAGGGAGAATGTGCAAACTCCACACAGACAGTCGTCCGAGGGTGGAATTGAACCCCAGGATCCTGGCACTGTGAGGCAGCAGTGCTAACCACTGAGCCACTGTGCCGCCCCATGTCCTGTATAGTTGTAACATGACATCCCAACCCCTAGACTCAATGCACTGACCAATGAAAGCAAGCGTGTCAAACACCCTCTTCGCCACCCTGTTTACCTGCGACTTCACTTTCAAGGAGCTATGCACCTGCACCCCTAGGTGCCTTTGTTTGGCAATTTAAAAGTAGAACTGTTTAAAAATGGAAACAGGATCTGATTCTGTGATTCCAGTTACCATTCCCAGCACTGGCATGTCCTGCTAATGTGAAGCAATGGCATAGCTAGGGAGCTACCTATATACTTCATACCTCACTTGGCTGATTCCACTGTAGGTGTAAGCATCTTCCAGCTCCCCCATAATTTTTGTGGAGTGAATCCAGCTTTACCATGAGTTCACAAACCATCAGAAGAGTAGCGAACCATCATCTAGATTCAGGGATCTTTTAAAAGTTAACGTCAAAAAAACCTTATCAATGATCTCATACATGCCCCACGGTCCCTCATACTCTCCCCATTAACTCAATGCAAATTTGTGCCTCCACCATGGACATTCACTTATTATGTACTACATGTGAATGTATAAAAAAGGTAATTGGGGAACTGTGAAGATAACATATCACCCATTTAAAAACATTGAGTTAAAAAAAAATCTATTGCTCTACAATGCTGATTAGTACCAGGGATCCAGGTTCAATTGGGTGACTGTCTGCATGAAGGTTGCACTGCGTCTACATGGGTTTCCGCCCAGTGCTCCGGCTTCCTTCCACAGTCCAAAAATGTGCAGGTTAGCGAATTAGCCATGCTAAATTGTCCGTAGTGCCCAGGGATGTGCAGACTAGGTGGATTAGCCATGGTAAATGTGGGGTTGTGGGGTTACGGGGATTGGGTGAGAGTCTGGGTCTGGGTGTGATGCTCTTCAGAGAGTTGGTGCAGACTCAATGGCCCCTTTCTGCACTGTAGGGTTTCTATGATTCTATAAGTAACAAAGGCTTCAAGAACAGCATACCTTTTAATCTGGTGCAAATAAATATTGAGACTTTGACAAAATTGCTAACAGAAAGAACTTACTGCAATTACATAAAGATTCTAACCAGATGAAGTCAATCATTCACTTTGCTTGTCAAAATGGAATTCTTGCTGTGCTCACGCTTTTATTAGTCAGGGCTCTCAGCCAAATATGCATAATGAGAACAGGTGGAAATCCTGATAACATTTTTCTCTCAAAGATGATTTTTAATTTATTTTTCCACAGCAGTTCCACATGTCATTGTTGTCATATAGCTCATTGGTTATGTACGTAATGCATGGATGAATGGTCATGAAAGAGGCATATGTCAACAGGAAGAGTATGAGGGAGACAGCAAAGTGAGGCAAAGGAGTCTAAAGGGTGAAGGTTAGAGGGCCTGATTTGATCACAACTGGAAGCACTTGCTTGATCCCATGAGCATCTGGAATCTGCTTCTGGAGTCAGCGGATCCCAAAATCACATAACTTAGACCGATTTAAATCCAAGTGGGTCTAAGTAGTCAGGAAAGGTCCCGACTCAAGCTACCTGGTTGCAAAAATCCAGCCTTTAAAGTTCAAAATCCATATTTGTTGAATGATGCCTTATGAATGAAAAACATTTCTTTAGGTCTTGATTTGCATTTTCTTTCACAACATTGCTACAATTTTACAACTGATCACAAATTTCATGTTTAGTATTTTTAAAGAAAAGATTCATGGTTCAAAATATTTCAAGAAAATTTAGTACTCAAAAGATTAATTTAAATATAAAAGCTCTTGTTTGGAAATGAAACTCAATGTGACAAATTGGGACTGAGAACACTGACATGCAAACTTACCCACAATATCAAACCAAAGAGGTATGTTACTTGGTTGAACTGTGACCACACCTACAATTTCATTCACTCTGTCACTTTCCATCACTGTAAAGTTGTAAAATGGTTCATCAAAACTAAGGGGAGTGGAAGATGGTTCTGGTTTCTTAATCCACTCAATATGCAAACGTGCAGTAGAAGACTTCTGTGGTCTTCCATTGTCCACTGCCTTTATCTGAGTATTAAAGATTAATGAAAAAACAAGCAAAGGTAAATATCATGTCAGCAAAGGAGTTCCATTGTTCTCAAGGCAACACATATTCTACCTGAAACGTCCATAACAATGAAAACTTTGCCATTAAGATTAAAATTTATCAAACTCAATTTTGAACTCAAATTAATTTTAGAAGACATCACAATCCATAACAGCAAAACAGAAGTTTGTAAAATGTCACTAGAGTCAATTGCATTAAATTGAACTAGTATTTGAATGTCGATTGTATTCAATTTTTAAATTTATAATGTTTACAATAGTGGGGTTCACATGCCAGAGTTATTAGAGACAATGCATTATCAATGAAACAGCAACAGTTTGACTGTGTCATAACACCTGAAGATTTATGATATTATTGTATTTGTCACATTTTTCTATAATTCTTCCATTGCACCATTGATTCATTGAATTCAATGGGAATTCCTGGGAAAATTCATCACTGGCTCGAGTAAAAACTAGCACAAAGATTGTGAGATAACAAGGTGTAGAGCTGGATGAACACAGCAGGCCAAGCAGCATCAGAGGAGCAGGAAAGCTGACGTTTCGGGTCTGGACCCTTCTTCAGAAAGATAGTTATGGTTTTAGAAACCGATTATCTCAATTTCCAATCACTAGTGTTGATTAATTGGTCCCCCATATAATCAAAGGATCCCAAATACATACTTAAAGGCCTCAGAACTAGCCTGCTGCATTCAAAGATTTGCATCCCAACAACTCCACTTTTCTATTCCTCTATCTCCTTTAAAATACTATCATATAGCTGATTTTGGCTCTCATCGTTCTTCTGAATAAAATCTATTACTTTCAAATTCTATGCATTAAGTTTCATCTGCCACGTATCTGCTCATTTTAATTGTCTAAGACCTTAAATCTGTCACCGTTCGTTTCTACTACTTACCCTCATTTACAAATATTGCTTAACATGCAAATTTTGAACATATTGAGAGTACACTGATATTCAGGTCATTAATATATACCAAAAATATCAGTGGTCCTAATACCAAAAGCTGCGGACCAATGTGCACCACTCTCCAGTTTTTTATCCCCCAGCCAAGTTTGTATCTATGGCATCTCTATCCCCTAAATCCCACTGGATCCCATTTAACTAATTCCATTTAATTTTGGTGACAAGCCTGTTATGTGATACTGTCATATTACTTCTGATATTCCATATTTTCATAAAATATACTGTTATTTCGTCAAAGAACTTCATTAAGTTTGTGAAACTTAATTTGCCTTTAACAAATTCTGGTACTCAGCTACTAGCCTATACTGCTCCAAGTGTTGATCAATTTCTTCCAGATTATTATCTTTAAGTGTCAACAATGCTGGGCTTACTGGGTTGCAATTGCTGAATTTATTCCCCTCTGCCTTTTTAACCAGGGATGGAACATTGCAATCCTCCATTCCTCTGTGACATAACACCCACATTTAAACAGTTCTGAAAAATTGTGATCAGAGGCTCCAACCCTACTTCCTCAGTAATTACAACTGCATTGCAGCCAAACTGGGTAACTGTTGCACAACGAGGACTGACAATTTTTCTTAAATATTTCCTATTCATCTGTATTTATCATCATACAAATCTCCTCCTTTATTGTAATAAACTGGAGCTTAGTTGGAGCAGTTGCCAAAAATGTAGAACTAGTATTTCTTTAATTCCTTCCTCTAGGAAATAGGTTTCAAATAAAGAGATAATTTCCCAATGCAATTAGCGGCAAACATAGAATACAGGTTATGCAATCCCAGGTAGGAAAAGAATTCAGCAAAATTGTAGGTCATGTTGGCTTAAACACGGAAAAGTGCGCACTACTACTTCTCATCTTTAAACATTAATTAGTTATAATACAGACAGTTAAAACTGTCCAGGCGAAACACATGTTAATTTTAATGACTCAATTATGCAGAATGACTTCACAAAATGAGGAGGAAAATGTAGAAACCTACAAAGTTCTAACAGGATTAGACAGGTCAGAGGCAGGAAGGATGTTCCTGATGGTGGGGCAGTCCAGAAACAAGCATCATAGTTTAAGGAGAAGGGATAAACCTTTTAGTAATAAGATGTGGAGAAATGTCTTCACCCAGAGGGTGGTGACCCTGTGGAATTCACTAACACAAAGTAATTGAAACCAAAACCTAGCTCGTGGCTGAAGGGATCAAGGGATATATGGGGAGGAAAGGATTACGATACTGAGTTTGATAATCAGCAACGATCATATTGAATGGCGCAGCAGGCTTCAGGGGTCAAATGACCTACCCCTGCTCCTATCTTCTACATCTATATTATTTTCCATTCTCCGATAATCAAACCAAAGCAACTGGTAAAATAATCCCTCTTTTGAGGAATGTATTACAGGGTTTTTAATCATTCTTCATGAAAAGGATTTGTATATGATTAATGTTAAGGTTTTGATTTTCTTAAAAGGAGTTTACCACGTTAAGAAATCTTTCTCTAATTTGGAGTCAATGGGTTGCAAAGTTTATTATTAAAGTTTTATGTGTGATGTGTTAGGGAACCAAGCTTCAATACGATTACCCATTATAATCAAGAGCAAGAGGTCACTGTCATGAAAACAGAAATTGCTGGAAAAACTCAGCAGGTCCAGCAGCATCTGTGGAGAGAAAGCAGAGTTAACATTTTGGGTCAAGTGACCCTTTTTCAGAATGAATTGTAGCTAGGAAAAGATTGATGATGGGCTGGGGTGGGGATTGAGAGCAGTAAATGACAGTTGGAGATGGACCCCAGAGAGAGAGAAAAACAGTTGGGCAGACAAAGGAATAGTTAAAGGTAAACCTGGGAGAATCAATAGCTGCTACTGGAGACCATTAGTGGTTGACAGCATGTGTTGGCAGTCCCTGTGATGACAAAGCCTGGCGTGTGATGTCAGGGTAAGGACATTGGAGAAGGTACTCAAGCCTTAAAATTATTGAACTCAATATTTAGTTCTGAAAAGTCATCCATTATTTAACACTCCCCACTCTTTTTCCAGCATCTGCAGTTCTTTTGATTTTTTTTTTGAGGAGGTCGCTGTCATTGGCCTTCTAGCTATTCGGATAAAGCTCAATACAAGGGATACCACTTCATTTTTCTTGGTACTTCTTAGCCTTGTGACTATAACATTGAGTTTAACAACTTTAAGCCTTAATCAGCACTCCAATGTTCTCTTGCAAAGCAGGTGCAGGCCATCACGAGCGCACGGGACAAAAATGTGAAATTAAAACAAGTGCTTGAGAAATTCAGCAGGTCTGACAACATATGTGTGAAGAGAAACAGAATCAATGTTGAGTCCAGTATGGCTTCTTCAGAACTGAAAATGTAACAAATTGCTGGGGATGAAATCTGGACATGGTTGCTAGGATGTTCCATACCTGCTTTTCTTCCACTACATTTTCTGTTCATGGAACGATCTCCCATTTGTCAACTTTCCATGTTTCCATCCTCCTCTGATTATATACTTTAACATTACAACTCCTATATGCATTGCTTCCACTTTCTCTCATTATCAAACCCTTTAGGCTTGAATCATCATCACTTGCAATCATTCCTATCTATTACCTTCTCAAAGATCTTTTCCAGTTATTTTTTACTTGTCCCTATTGCCTATCTCTGTAGCTGCTTCAAAACTGTTTATCTCCACCATCTTCCAGTTCTAATGAACATATATTAATCTGAATTGTGAACTCTGCTTCCCTTTCTATAGCTAATGCCTGATCAGCTTAATAATAGCCTTTCTAATGTTTTCTGTCACGTAGGCCTATTCATTTAAATGGTTGTGATTCAATTCACATCATTTTGCTTTTGTGAAAATTGGATAATTGTTATCTCGTCATAGATGCTCACACAAAAATTCAGAAAGCAATACTTCAAATTATCCAAAAAGACACACCAAATAGTTTGGATTGCAAAGTAGTTCCTTTGGTATACCTTCAGCGTAGACTGCTGCACAATTAAACATTCAGTACATGGCTATAATCCACCCTTCTAGCTCAGAAAATATTGAGGAGCAGCTTGAAACCTACAAAGAGATTAAAGCTTTCAAGTAATATTGACATTTATGAGCAAAACCAAGAACAGAAGCTTACAGTTAGGATGTCATAGTTTCCAGCTGAAAACTGTTTTCTGGAAGACACCATCCCAGTTTTAGGATCAATAAAAAACTTCCCATCATCATTTCCATCCACGATGCTATAGGAGATTTCTGCATTGGGGCCTTTGTCCTTATCGAATGCAAATGTTCTATAAATTGGCTCACTCCGTTTTTTGCGGTCCCGTTCTGGAAGTTTAATTTGATATACTTTCTGAGGAAACAGGGGCTTGTTATCATTCTCATCCAACACATGTACCATCACCCACACAGTGGAGTACTTTGGAGAAGAACTGCCATCTGTCACCATTACCTACAGGAAATTAATGAAACATTATTAACAGTCAGTTCTTTCTATATCTCCTACTGACTATACATTTTCTCATGACAGAATTTCAAACTGTTCTTCAGCTTCAGGTCATCTTTTTCAAAGCAATTTCTCCTTCATTTTGTTCTTTACTTTAATAGCTAATAATTTCCTATTGAAATTAACAAGCTAAAGCTATCATGGGAATATTCCAACTCAGTACAAAGTTGAATTAGCTTGTTAAACTCAAATATTTTAGCAAAGAGGGTGGACATTATATTTCAAGATTTTAAATTTATTTTCACAGAACATTTTTCAGAATAATGTCTACATTTTAAAGCAAAATCAACATGGACAGTCTTAAAAGAAATCACAGGCTGGGAGGTATTGGAGACGTGCTTGTTAAAGTCCAGCGAGCCTGTTTGTGGAACGTTGTGTTTTACAACCTTTCTCAAACTGAGAAAATGAGTCAGTTACCTCCAACCAGGCCAAATCAGCTAAGGCAGTCCATATTCAAGTTCATTATAACAGAACTTGTTTCATTTTAATGACTATTCCAAGGGGAGGAGTAAGCGGGAGAAAAAGGGAGAAGGACAGATCATTTTAGTGGCAGATTGATTAATGACTCATTGAACAGAAAAAGAAAAACGAGGAACAGTCTTTCCCACTTGCTATGAGCACCAGTAGAAAAGGACAAAAGGACACATAATAGTCAGATCGACAACTGGATCTGGAAAAGGGATTTGGTCCAACAAGACAGCAAATCACTCATTTCAGGTCCAGAGCTAATCAATGAGTAGACTGATCAGAAAAATCAAGTGAGGCCATTAAAAGGGAATAATGTGGCATAATTCTTATTATTTTTCTGGTCATTAAAAGTGGTATTCTAGTGTGGTTAAATCAATGTGAGATTTGATTGTGCGTTATTCTGTATTTTGCTTGTTACCTGCAAATTTGAACGTGGCCTCATCTCATAATTTTTTAAATTGTATTTGGAAATGATTAGAGAAGTAGAAATGATGGTGTATTGAAAAAACCTACGTCAGATCAAATGATATTATTATTATACTTCTTGATGTGGTAATGTGCAATTAGGTATTGAGCAGACTATTGAACTCACAACCACCACTTATACATCAGGAAATATCTGAAGCAAATCTGAAATGTGTAACTGTAAAATTATAAACTCCGAATTTACGAAGAATGACAGACGCACATTCAGCATAAAATAATATTAAACAAAAACTGAAATTATGGATATATTTAATAGATCAAACAAAGCAATTGTTATTTCCGATACAGAACCTTCACAGTGCTGAGATTTGTATTCTTCAAATGAGCTGAGGCTTTAGAAACAAAGTAACAATACCAATAATCTTCCTCTCATGATTTTCAACATATCTTCTCAAAATACTAACAACATCTGGCATACAATTCCACAGATTCCTTTCACCAGTACCTGCTAAAGTGGGCACATTTCATAATTGAACATTGTCTAGTGTAGGGACTTTGAACTAGGAGCAACATGTTTTGCCATTCTGTGAGATAATGGGTAATCTGTGGTGTAACTCCATGATATACCTACCTTTAGCCCATATCCTTTAATACCTTTGCACAACAAACATTTATCTATCTCAGATTTAAAATCAACAACTGATCCGACATTCACTGTCATTTGTGGAATTGTGTTCCAAACATCTGCCATCCTTTGTGTATAGAAGTGCTGCCTAATATCTCTTCTAGTTCTAGAATGCCCAACCACTGGAAATAGTTTATTTTTATCTACCCTGTCTTTTTCCTGCCAATATCTTGAAGACTTTGATCAGATCACCACCTAACCTTTTAATTTCTAGAGGAAACAGGCTTCATTTGTACAATCTCTCTTTATCCCTGAGGTTCAGGTATCATTCTTGTAAATCTACGTTGTATTCCCTCCAAAGCCATATATCCTTCCTAAGGTGCAGTGCCCAGATGTGCTTAAGTACTCCAAGAGGGGTCTGACCTTGGTTCTGGATAGCTGCACCATAACATCTGCATCCCTGTACTCCACTTCTTCAAAAATAAAGGCCATTTCTCCAGAAATAAAGGCTAGCATGTCCCTCACACAAGAACAAGAACATAAAACCATCATTCGCTCTAATTTTCTTTTTGAAGGACTTCCAGAACATGAAGTCATGCTATGTTCAGCATGCCAATGCTGACAGCCATGTGCAGAACCTTGCACACACGGCAACACAGGTTAGAGGGAGTGTTGTTAAAGAATCACTTCTGTTCAACTACAGGCCGAAATTTCATTGAGGCATCAGCGATTCATGTAAACTTACGTTGTACTCCCTCCAAGGCCATTTTATAGATCTATGCACCTGAACCTCCAACAGTCTTTGGACATCCACTGTATTTAACTTCATACCATTGAGAAAATACTCTGATCAATCCTTTTTTGGTTCTAAATGGATAACCCAACACTTGCTTACAAGTATTCTATAGTAGGAATCATTAGACAGTAGCCAGGAGCAGGCAACTGATTATTACCCCCTACCCCTCCTTCTAAATCCTTAAGATCAGGGATGCTGAGGTCAAGTATGATGCTATTATTAAAAGTCAACACAGCTAAATTGGAGAATTGGATGTGGTATTCTCTTGGTCTGTGCAGCTCCATTCTAAAAACTTTACTCTACAACCAGGGCAGCTATCTGTCAACTGCTGCAGACACCCATGCACACTTTCCATTTATACAAAAACGCAGTTTTTGCAAATAACCCTGAAATTTGTTTTGGAAATATAAATTCTGTTACGCTACCTGCTGACTTCCGACAAATGCAATATCACAAGTACTTCTGATTGCAAAAATTGATTACAACTGTTTTGGGAGAAGCGTGGTTCGAGAGAAATTCAGGGCTGTTTATAAACCACTGTTTTCTCTTTCGATGTCTGTGGAACATTTGAGAAGATTTGAAAATTGTTAAAAATACAATTAAATGTAATCCCTTTTATTTTCTCCATTCAGCCTTGTTAAATTGCAGTTTAACACTAATGTCACAAATCTGTAGAATTAGAATTATTGTATGTACTAGAATTGGGCCAAATATGTTAAAATGTCAACTTCATTTCTATTAAAACTTTTCTCTTTAAATTGAATCATCAAGCAAGGGGATTAAAAATAAGCACAGAAAAAAAGCATGCCCTAACGCTAAATAAGAACTTTAGGTAGATCTTACACCAGTGTGTTTTCTTGTTCAAAGATGTGATTTGATTTTTTTGCGTGTATTTCTTGCTCTCATTTCTGGTGGACTGGGTAAAGGTAAATGTGGCTACCCAGATATACATCTGCATCACAATTACTTCCTGGATGGTCAGCAGTGGTTGTTCATGCACAATTGCATTCGTGAATCATTGCAGTCCATACAGTGTAGGTATACTCACAGCAGTGTTAGGAACAAGAGTTCCAGGATTTTTTACCTCTGCTTCCCAAATGAATAACAACATTACTAATTATCTCCAGAGGGAAGTTTAAAAAAAACTTGAAAATGAACTTACCTGTATACTTCAAATAGAGGGCCAACATGTCTAGACACATTGGATCAGTATGTATCATTCACTAATTTAAATGGTTTTTCCTTCTGGATTCTAAATAATGCCTTTACATAGTTTTTTTGAGAAGATTTGTAGCTCGGGTTGTGGATGAGGTTGTAGACTTGCTCACCGAGCCAATGTGTTTGGGTGCAGACGTTTCATCACCCTACTAGATAACATCATCAGTGCGCATCTGGTGAAGATTTGGCATTCTGTCCGTTATATACAAAATACCATACAAGGACTGTGAAAAACATTACATAGGCCAAACTGGAAGAAAACTGACAATAAGGATAACAAAAACAACAACTAGACACTCAGAGGCACGGCCACTTCTCACTGGTCTCAATACACACGGACAAAGAAGGACACGAATTTGACTGGGACAACACATCCATAACACCATGAGCCAAACAGAGGCATGCCATGGAATTTTTGGAGGCCTGACATTCCAACCAGAACTCCATCAACAAACACATTGCACGGGACCTGATATACCAACCTCTGAAAAACAGAACCAGAAGTGAAGCCAATCACCCCAGCAAACCAAGGCATATAAATAAGGAGCTGGACAGAACGCCAAGGCTTCACTGGAGGCACACTGACGATGCTACCTAACAGGGTGATGAAACATCTAAAACCAAACACACCAGCTCAGCGAGCAAGTTTACAACCTAATATCTTTATACCAATAGAATCATTATAATCATTAAGCTATTTCCACTATCTGAAATATTAAAGATTAAGAATTGATGTTCATAATTAAATTGAACACCTTGGAAGCATTTTATAGCTTATTTTCTTTTAGTAAAATATTATTCAGGGTTCTAATTAGCTTACAGGATATTATGCTTCCTTCTTGTAGATTTGGAACTTGTCACTCTTAGCGGTGAACTGGCACCTTGCACAAGCAATGTTGCATGTGTTGAGTTTGGCGTTGTCAAAATCATGGTTGATGTAGCTGATGTCATGTAACTTTTGGCTGACACTATTGATATTGCACAGCTTGACCACATGAACTGGTATTTTGTTCTGTTTAATGTAGAGATGAGGTAAAAAAATACCGAACATACATTGTTCAGCAAAGTCATTACATTCTTTGGAGGTGAATTGGGCTCCATTTACACATTTCTTTCAGGAAACCTTTGCTGAGCAAACAGAACTCCAACTGCTGTGATGTTTGTCGCAGTTCTCAAATCTTTCGCCTTTCAGATAGAGGGAATTTTGAGTAGTAGAATGCAACTATCAGATATCATTCTTGACCATTTGTGAATAATTAGATTCCCACATTATACCATCACGAGTGGTACTATAGTATCTATCATCTCTTCTCACATACTTCTGGCACACACTGCACGTAGAACTATTCTCTTGATGTCTTTATAGGTGCCTATTGAGTCGAGAGTTGACCTAAACTTTCACCCTTCCACTCC